AATAAATATGAGAAATGTGTTATAAATATACAAAATTAACATTTTATTTGTAATAGACATATATGTTGTTCTAACTCATACATGAGTAAATGTAAAATTTGCATGTTTTATTCTGGTCTTGTTATACTTTACTTTAAAAGCCACATTTCTTTTATTTTACACTGATTAACTCATCAAATGCAAAAAAAGCTATAGATGTAGGCAAGATACTGATTTTGTTACATAATTAAGATTAAACTCATTTGAATGTAAAATTTGATGTGAAGAGTGATGGGCGATATAACATGGTAGTCATAATTTGCTATAGTAAATACTTGCATGTAGTCTTACATTCATTACTTTCAGTTCTATTTAACATATATCATCCCCTTATGTCCATTAAAATTTATTTATTTTTGATAGCTATACTCCGTTTGCTAATGGCCCCAATGATACTCCTGAAGAGATACTACTACGTATAGGTAATGGAAAATTCTCTTTGAGTGGTGGAAACTGGGACAATATTTCAGATGGAGCAAAGGTATATATTATATTTTTTGTTTTGTTCCATTCATGTTTAATTGATAATATCTTTATATTTCCTAGCCTGTATTTGTAGATTATCCCATGGTGTCTTATGTTAGTATATGTTTTTAATTCACTCACATTTATGTGTGGATCAAATGAGGCAGAGGGTGCATTTTTTTCTTCCATACGTCTATACTTCTGGGCAGCCTTCCTCTTCTATCAGTTCATATATGTTCAGAGACTATAAACTAGTTTAGAAAATGTAAATGTACTGGGAAAAGCAGTTTTAAAGCCAACTAAAATTGATTTCTGGATTTTCCACATGAGTTTTCCATCTCATGATTTCTTCTTTAGCACACACACAAAAAATTAACTTTTCATTATGATTTGGGTGAAATTTTACAAAACTGATTCATTTTACTTTTCATTTTATTTATTTATTTTAAGAATTTGTTTTATATTCAACCTTATGTGTACATTTAATTTTACTCCCCATTTACCATGCCCAACCCTAACCCAGTCTCCTCCCCTCCCTGCCCTACTAGTAACCCTCCCCCCATACCCCTCATAGTTATACACTCCTGTGTGTGCTGCATTTCCTCCATGTGAATGTTGCCCCTCTGGTGCCCCATGGTCAATTGCTCCAAGGGATGCATTTCCATAGAGTATGTGGGTGTGTCACCCTGGGTTGAGTGGTTTGCATGTACCTCTTGTTTACTATTGGGCTGAGAGCCAGCCCCTGGGAGTGAGCTTTATTCCAGACTCAGAATGTATCGCAGGACCATAGTATTAGGGGTCAGTCTCACCGGACTCCATCCGATCAGTAATTCTCATCATTATTGAGATTTTGGATTTTGTTCCACATTTTTCCTCCCACTCTATCCAGGATCTCCAGATTTGATCCTTTCCTGAGTGGTTGGCATTGGTAGCCAGGCACCATCTAGTTCTTCTGGTCTCAAGCACCATCATGTCCTAGGGCTGATTGCTTCCAAATGCCCCCTTTTTTTTCTTTTTTTTTTTTCACTCTTCTTCGCTTCTGAGGATAGGAGACCATTAGGTGCATCTTACATGGCTGCTTGAAAACTTTTAAGACCTCAGTTGCTACTCACAAATGTAGGATGAGGAAAAAGGCTTTTATGTGTTTTGTTGTGCCAATAGAGTCTGGTGTCCCCCAGTACTATGGTCATGAGACAGTAGATCCATTGGATCTCTCTCCCACAGTGTCTGGCTGTCTGTGAGGGATTACTCTATGTCTGTCTTTTGTTGTTTCTGTAGGGATTCTGCGTATTTTGTATCACTGGTATCTGTGCAAGATTAGCCTCTGCTGAATCTGTCATTGGTCAAGAGCATACTCCTGTTCACTGAGCCCCATCTGATCCTCTCAGGTGTTTATGTGTTTACCTGTAGCCTGGTGTTTGGTGTTAATGGTAATACAGTGTTGTGAATACATTGGTTGGTATTAGCATCTGTCGTCTATCTCCTATGTTCACAATTTGGTGTCCTCCCTTTTCCTAATGTTATCATGGTGGTCACAGACTCTTTCCATACATCCCATCCCTTACCCACATCAGCATGTGGGCCTCAACTAGCCCAAAATCAATCCCTCTCCTTCCCTCCCCTCCCCAGTAACCTGCAAAGTGAGTTCCCTTTCTTAAGCAAATCCTTCTCATACAGTATTTGTCCTTCTGCAATTGACTTATTTCACTCAGCATAAGGTCTTCCAGGGAGCTCTGGTAGCATAGTGCCTAAGGCATTTGACTGCTAACCAGAAGGCTGGAGGTGCAAACCCACTAGCCACTCCTTGGAAGGAAGATGGGACAATTTACTTCCATAGTGATACTGCCTCAGAAACCCAAGGAGGGGTCGCTATGAGTCGGGTCCAACTCGATGGCACATAACAATAACAACAACAACAATGTCCACCAGGTTCATCCATGTTGTGAGATGATTTGTGTATCCCTCATTGTTCTTTAATGTAGCATGGTATTCCATTGTGTGCATGTACCATAATTTGGTTATTCACTCATCCGTTGATTGGCATTTGGGTTGTTTCCATCTCTTTGCTATAGTGAATTGTGCTGCAGTGAACATAGGTATTCATATGTCTGTTCATACACTGCCTCTCGGTTCTTTGCAATATATTGCTAGTAATATAATTTCTGGGTCAAATGGTATTTGTATTTTTAGTTTTTTAAGGAAACGCCATACCATATGCCACAATGGTTGTACCATTTTACAATCCCACCAGCACAAGAATTCCAATCTCTCAGCAACCCTGCCAGCATTTGTTATTTTCTGACCTGTTGAATTTTGCTGTTATCACTGGGGTGAGATGATATCCCATCATTGTTTTGATTTGCATCTCCCTAATGACTAATGATAGCGAGCAATTCCTCATATGTTTGTTGACTGCCAGCATATCATCTTTAGTGAAGTGTCTATTCAAGTCTTTTGCCCATTTGTAAATTGGGTTATTTGTTTTTTTGGTGTTGTGGTGTTGAAGTTTTCTATAGATTTTGGAGATAAGTCCTTTATCAGATATGTCATAGGCAAATATTTTCTCCCAGTCTGTAGATTCTCTTCTTACCCTTTTGACAAAGTCCTTTGATGTGCATAAGAATTCAATTTTTAAAAGGTCCCAGTCATCTAGCTTCTTTTCTACCTCCTGTACATTCTAGGTTATGCTTGATAGTCTATTTATGCCATAAATTAGGGCTCCCAGATTTGCCTCTATTTTATCTTTGAGGAATTACTGCAACTAATAAAGCAGTTCACTAAAGTGGCAGGATGCAAAGTCAACATACAAAAATCAGTTGAATTCCTCTACACCAACAAAGAGTCCTTTGATAAAGAAATAAGAGAAACAATACCATTTACAATAGCTACTGAAAAGATAAAATATCTAGGAATAAACCTTACCAGAGACACAAAAGACCTACACAAAGAAAACTATAAAACACTACTACAAGAGACAACAAGGGCACTACATAAATGGGAGGACCTGCCTTTTTCATGGATAGCTAGACTGAAAATTGTGGAAATGTTAATACTACCTAAAGCAATGTACACATTTAATGCAATCCCTATCCAGATACCAACCAATTTTTTTAAGGACCTGGAAAAATCAATTACTGACTTCATATGGAAAGGAAAGAGACCCCAGGTAAGCAGAGCACTTCTGAAGAAGAAGAACAAAGTGGAAGGTCTCCCACTCCTGGATTTTAAGACCTACTATACAGCCACGATAGTCAAAATAGCATGGTATTGGTACCATGATAGACAGATAGACCAATGGAACAGAATTGAAAGTCCAGAAATAGACCCATCCATCTATGGACACCTGATCTTTGACAAAGGTCCAAAAGCCATTAAATAGGGAAGAGACAGCCTGTTTAACAAATGATACTGGCAAAACTGGATATCGACTTGCAGACAAATGAAACAAGACCCATACCTCACCCCATACACAAAAAACAAACTCAAGCTGGATCAAAGACTTAAATGTAAACCCCAAAACTATAAAAACTGATTCATTTTACATTCAATAGTTTATATATACATTTTCTTTTGTGACACTGGTTACATTCCCCGCAGTGTAACAGCTCACCTGCCACTTCCTACCTGTGATTACCCTTTTCCTGTGTCCTTTTTGCCTATGCATTCCTGCCTCCCTACACTTACTCCTGTGCAAATGCTGCCCTTCTGATCTCCTGTGGTTGATTGTTCTAAGAAATGTGTCTCCCTGGTGCAGGTGTTCAGCTCATGGGCCTGTCTTTTATTTGTCTGTGAGTTAATCCACAGGAGTGAGATAAATTCGATGCTCAAATCACAATCATTACAGAAGCAACAGAAGACAGAGTTTAAGTAATCCCTCAGAGACAACCAAACACTTTGGGAGAGAGAATTACTGGGCCTGCTGACTTAGGGCCATAGTCTTGGGACTTTCGCCAGTCTCTATTAGAACAGTAAGCCTGGTCTATTTTTTTTATGATTTTGCATTTTGTTCCATATGCTTCTCCCACTCTATACAAGGTCTCCAATTTTGATTCCTTTCCAATTGGTTGGCCTTGGTAGCTGGCCATTATCTAGTTTTTCTGGTCTCTGGGTCATATAGGTTGAGATTCTCATGGTCTATTAGTTCTTTGGACCACTGTTGCCACGGGTCTTTGATTTTCTTCACTCTTCTTTGCTCTGGATGAGGAGAGACCAATAGCTGCCACTAGATGGCTATTCACAAGCTTTTAAGGCCCCAGTTGCCATTCACTGAAGTGAGATGCAGAGCAATTTTTTCTGTATGCCATTTTTTGCCAGTTGGGTTTGATGTCCCCCACGACCATCGTCCTTAGCCCACGAATCCAGCAACCTACTCCTTCAAGGTGCTTATTTGTGGCTAAGAAGTTATCCTAACTTGTTCTCCTGATTAAATTGCATGTGGACATTGATACATCACATACATATACATATATAGGAATATCATCCACCAAACCACTTTATGGTCATGGGCATATTCCCATTTGCCTATCCATACCTGTTTACCTACATATCCACTCAGAAAGTAGTGTTTGCTATTACTGATAATTCAGTATTGTGTCTCCAATAGAATTTGCCTTTATTATCTGTACCTCTTATAAACTTCTCCGTGTCTTCATTTTCCTTCGTGATTTGTGCTAGTCACTCACTTTTGTTACATTGCTTTTCCCCTTACCCATGTCAAACCTATATCTTAATTATCTTTCTTTTTTCTCTCCCTTCCCATCAACTCTCACTCTGGTAAACAACAAAGAGAATTTCCTTCCATGTGTAAACCTTTCCTTGACTTTTTGCAATAATGAACTCATACAATATTTGTCCTTCTGTGATTGACTTATTTCACTCAGCATATTTTCCACCTACTTCATCCATGTTATGAGATGATTGGCTGATTCTTCATTTTATGTTGCATAGTATTCCATTGTGTGTATGTACCATACTTTGGATATCCATTCAGCTGTTGATGGGCACTGTGGTAGTTAA